CCTGAGAAGTCCTGCAAAACGCCCGAACTCTGCTCCTTGAACAGGCACAGGACGGGACTCCCTTCTCGGCCTCTCCACACCAGCCCTGATGCCCTCCGCAGGCTCCACCTCCTGGCCTCCTCAGTGGACCTCGCTGCAGGGCTGAGTCCAGCCCAGGAAGGGAGGTAGAGGGGCCATCGGTCTTTCCGGTTCCTCATCCCTGTGTGTCCAGYTCAGGGTCGGTGCGCAGAGGGACTGGGGAGTCGGCTGCTCCCTGCCAGGCACCTGGGCGGCCACACTGCCCATTCCCCGTCTTCAGGGAGGCCGCCCAGGTGGAGGGTCCTGCCAGGACCCAGGTGACAACAGCTGGAACATGGGGGGGGGCTATGCAAACCGTGTCACCCGACTGGAGGAGGGGGGGGCCAGAGGACCTCTGAGCAGAAAGGACTCGCCCCSGCGGTGGCACACGCCTGCTGCCACGGGGCTCTCAGGAAGCCCCAGCGTGGAGCCCACACCCGATACCCCACCCTCCACTTCTCTCTCTGGTCACCTCCGACACCAGTGCTGGAACTGGTCTGGGAGAAACTGCTTGCGATTAGCGGCTTCCTGCCATTCTCTCCGGGCTCCCGTCATGCTCTCCTCTCTCTCCTACACAACACGTGCTCCCACGCCCACCCTCTGGCCTGACGCGTCCTCCAGCCAGTTTCCAGGTCACACCAGCAAGGAAATTTCACAATGGCTGTGAGGGGGGGTGTCAGCAGCTCGGGGTACCCTGCCCTTCCCCTGCTGGCAGGGTCTGCAGGGTGACAGAGAAATGAGGAGAGGCCCAGGGGAGGGTCCTGAGTGCCTCTCCTGCAGGCCGAGGGTGCTGGGGGGCACCATGGCATGGGAACCGGGAGGGGACCATGGGCAGTCACTTACACTGTCACCTGACCCCAGGGAACTCGGGCCCCCACAGGACCACGGGCTCCAAGCCCTGCTGGGACCCCAAGACTTCTACCCAAGACAGAAGTCCCTTGGTCTGAGCCCCACCTGCCCCGTCCTCCTGGCATGAGGCCCTCAGTGGGCACTCCGCAGAGCTGGAGCAAGGCTTCCCCAGGCTCTGGCCCCCCTCAGAGGCCCCGCCCACCTAGCAGTTCCCCCAGAGCTGCAGGGGAGACCCCGCGGGCTCTGAGCTTGGCCAAGCCCTCGGGGCCAGAGGGAGGAAATGCCCCCAAGCCGCCCAGCAGTGAGCGGCCTGGTGGCAACCCCACACCTGGCTGTGGAGGGCACAGCTCCTCACAAGTCCTGCCAACAGAGCCCTCAGCCAACAGAGCCCTCAGCCAAGGGACACTGCAGCCAGGGGTCCCCCACCCCCAACAGTTGTCCTGCAGCCCAGCTGGCGGGGGCCAGACCTCCTTGTGCAGAGCTGCTTCAGTGGGTACCAGGTACCAGCACACAGGAAAGCTCCACTGGCTGCCGTTCAGTCCGTGCCTGAGTTGGGTGTTGTCACACCCATGTCACAAGCCCAACCTCAGTGCCAAGCCCAGGACCCAGCTGTGGTCTCCTCTCCGCACTGCTTTCCTCACACAGGGGGGTGCCCAGCTCAGCAATGGACGCTTGCCCCATGCTCTTGCCTGGGCCAGGCCAGGGTCACAGCCCTGCCATGGCCCTCCTGTGGGACGAGAGACGCCCCCAGCCCTGCCTGGCCCAGACACTTCACAAGCAGGACCTGGAGAGATGACAGAGCAGTGACCACTGCCTGCAGTTCATGGCAGGAAGCCCACTGCCCAGGGAGGGGCAGCCTGAGAGGCCCCTTGCAGTCTTTTCGACAGCTGCACTGGAGGCCCCACAGCTCACAGAGCTCCAAAACCCCAGCGTCCAACCAGCCTCCCCAGGTCCACCTGCTGACCCAACTCAGCACTCAACTCCTGACTGTCTGGGGCTCCCAGCTGGCACCTGGACATTTGTGCCATCCCCAGATACTCCCCTAGCCCAACTGGCCTCAACTGCCTGGGTCACTCCCTGGCCACAGGACAGGCACCTGCTTGGGTCTGCCACCCACCAGACTGTGGACTCGCCATGGGCAGGTGCTGCCCCTACCGGGTCCTTGTGACTCCACAACACGTGAGAGAAGCAGGGGAAACCCGAGGGATCCAGAGAGTGGGTGAGTGAGTGAGTGGGTGAGTGAGTGGGTGAGTGGGTGAGTGGGTGGGTGAGTGGG